CTATACAATTCCTGAAATGTAGATATAATTTTCTTTGAAATGATATTTCATGGGAGCTTTGTAAAGTACAGTCTTCCAGAGCTCAGATTGACGATAGTATTGATCATCGCCTACTTGTTCATTTCGCTGGGAGTGAAAGGGTAGCAAAAGAAAACATAGGATCACGGGATTTGAAGAGACAATCATTTTTGTTTCTTCCTCGATCTGTTTTTACATTTTAGCCTGAGAAAGATAAGCCCTTATCACATATCAGTTCTAGGGACCGTTTACGTTGTGACTGATTCCAGCCTGCTTGAGTAAAGTTCTGTTTCTATTTGGGGTGAAAAGGGGATGAGGGGGGCTGTTACGCCTTGAAAAAGTGTGGAGTTGCTAAATATGCTACTTTTGAACTGTTTCTAGAAAATTCGTGATCAAATGTAGTTAATGGCTACAGAGCTTTTTGACAAAGGAACACTATGCAACAACACAAAGAGTTTTAAAAGACGAGTAATTAAATAATAAATAAATACTCCATTTTTCTTACAAAAGAAGTATGTTCAATGTTGGAAATTGAAAATAGATCTATGTCACATTTTCGCCAATGTATCAAAATAGAATTTTCTTTTTAATTAATGTTCAGAATATTTTTAAATAAATACTTCGTTAATTAAAACAGTGTTCTCATTTTTTTAAAAGAAGAATGTCATATGAACAGTACTTTTTATATCCATGCTTATTGGCGTTTCTATTTGCACTATAATGTACATGTATGTATACTGAAATCAACAGAATCGGGTTTCCAACACATCTTAATGATCTCTCAAATGGAATGTTTGTCAATCGTTCATGAGCGCAATACATTTTAAGAGAAGGGAAACTCTCCCTTAAATGCTCAACCTACGCTATATCTTAGAAACACACTTTATAGCTTAGTGTCACACCCAGTACCCTTTAAAATTACAAACAAACATAATAATGTAGTTCCTACTTCATGCCCTGACTTCATTAACAAAAGGAGAAAAGGGGTTGTTATGTGATAGGTGGGCATTTAATTTACACCTCTTGATCTACTGTGGCTCTGCTTATGTACAATTATACGCAGACTTTTTCAATTCTTTTTTCTTTTTAATATTTTTCTAATACGTTGTCCTTCTGTTAGCTATCTCCTTGCGTTAAACTAAATCGAAGTTGTCCGCCCATGTTGAGTAATTTTGGCACAATTCTCTGGTTGGATGGAAGGCTTCCGGGCGTTTGTTATGTCAGTTTTCTTTAACATAATGACATTGTTGTTCAAATTACGTCAACTTTTCTCTTCTGTTCTTAGTGACTTCCTGTTCTTGGTCTTCTGTGAACAATGTTCCACCTTCAGTTACATTTTTATTCTCTCTCATTTGTTTGCATTTTGTTGCATACCTCTTGTATAAGTTGGTCTCCAAAGCAGAAGTAAACGTGTCACATTTAATATATATTCTGTCCTTTTGCCATGGGTTATATATATTGAAGGGAAGATCGTCAACGTTTCATTATATTAAACTGTGAGCTGGGAAGATGTCCGTTTCTGTGTTTTGATGTCTATGACACGCGTTTTCGGAAAGTTAACGTCCCTTTGGAATTTTCCAGACTCCTAGACAATTGTAATATTGCATGATCTATACTACACTCGTAGGGAATGTGGTTTGTTTAGACGAATTCAATTAATAAACGTCTGGAAGAACAGAAAATCCGAAGGAAGTTAGACTATTGACAGGGTTCAGGAAAGGGTTTTCTGTTTGCGTTCTCCGCCTTACATTCGGATATCATCACCTCTTCAGTGAGAGGGAAACTGACCTTTCATAGATAAGGGGACTTTTGTTCGGAAACCGCTCCGGACTGTTAATCTGTTATCAGATTCCATTAAGTGAGTTCCCGCTATTTCACAGATGGTGAATGACTTATAGTACTTTGACCTCAGATCACATCATTACAGAATCTTCGTGCCTAACCTTGGCCTACTTTTTATTATCTGGGGTCACATCCTACGGGACGTAATTATTATTTCATCTTATTCCACCCGTTGAATTGAGTATTTGAGCATAGTTAGCTTATGAGTGGGAGGTTTTCTTCTTGTAGGGGGAAAGTGGAGGGGGCGCATTTAGAAGCAGAATGACGCCACTGCATGCATATCAAGAGAGAATAGATTGTAGTTGTGATTTAAGAAATTTTAGAGGATAGCATCACAGTCAGACCGGCGTATGTGTGTAATGGTTAGGTGCTTAAAATCTGCTGTCTCACGCTGGAGCCAGGAGTTCGAATTCGGGAGTGGAAAGAATTTTTTATCAATATCTCCGTATTTTTGCTGGGATGCGATATACCACTCAGCCGGGTTGGCCCTGAAAGACAGGGTCTGAAGCCCTCCTCCCAAATGATCAAAATTGTATGATGGGATAAAAAGTTGAAGTTAGTTTTCCTATTTTAGTACATTTTATTGTTTGTTGTTGTTGTTTGTTTTGTTGTTGTTGGGTTGTTGTTGTGGGGGGGGGGT